GGCATTCCCTGTTTCCCCCAGAAACCCCAAATAGAGGGGGCCCCACTGCCTGTCTTCAGGAGTTCTCAAGGGGATTGCACAGAGGATTCATCAAATTCCTGGCAAGTGAGGGACATGCAGGAGGCCTTTGACCCTGTTACGTCACTGCTGTGACAGTGTTGTGGTCAGGACCACTATTGGCGGGCGGTAGTGGCAGCAGGGATGGTGCAAGTTCACGGTCACAATCGGATTTCCTCTTCTCATGGCCCCCTGTCCTTCCACCTCCCTCCCGTCTCTGCCCTCTGTGTCAGGGCTGGCCACCTGGCTTTAGCAGGAAGCCGCTGTCTGAAGAATAAACCCCTTCCTTTGCTAAGCGTTTCTCCAACCTCTCCTTCCCCGGAGTTCCGTGTCCTTAGATGCTCCCCAGTCTCCTCTTGCTCACTTCCTAACTTGAACTTTTCCTTGTCCCTTAAGCTTCCTGACTCTGGGCAGCGCTGGGGTTAGTGGTGGAGATTATTATTAATTATTGGTGTCTGCAACTAATAGCCATCACTTACCAACTCTAGACCATGCCAACTGGTGCAGAGGATGGGCCCATTGGATACTTTTTCCAGGCCTGTGTGTTTTCCTGACCACACTGGTAAGGAGATTGAGGCTTGGAGAAGTTAAGTGACCTGCCCAGGTTCACATGAGGTCAGGGCCTGAATTTTAATCCACATCCATCAGACCAGAAAGCCAGGGTCATAGCCAGGTTCTACCTTGATGGATTGTTTGGTTTTGTTTTTTTTGAATTTTATTTTATTTATTTTTTTATACAGTAGGTTCTTATTAGTTATCTATTTTATACGTATTAGCGTATATATGTCAATCCCAATCTCTCAGTTGGATTGTTTTTTAAATAACAAAGTAGGGGGACTTCCTGGTGACACAGTGGTTAAGAATCTGCCTGCCAATGCAGGGGACGTGAGTTCGAGCCCTGGCCTGGGAAGATGCCACATGCCACAGAGCAGCTAAGCCCATGTGCCACAACTATTGAGCCTGCACTCTAGAGCCTGCGAGCCACAACTACTGAGCCCGTGTGCCACAACTACTGAGCCCACGTGCCTAGAGCCTGTGCTCCGCAACAAGAGAAGCCACTGCAATGAGAAGCCTGCGCACCGCAACAAAGAGTAGCCCCCGCTCACCGCAACTAGAGAAAGTCCACACGCAGCAATGAAGACCCAATGCAGCCAAAAATATATAAATAAATAATAAAAAATAAATTAATTTTAAAAATTATTTTTAAAAAAGTAGGAAATAATGCTCAGGAGGGGAGACATGGTTTGGGCCATTTGTTTACTCAGTAACCTTTGGGTACCTGCTGGGTGAGGAGGAGATGAGTCAAAAGTAAATACCACACAGTCCTGGCGCTGAGGTCCTTGCGTGGTCCTTGCAGGACAGAGGTTTTGACAGACACGTGAGAAAATCATTGCAATGTACAGGGGGTGTCCGGATGGTTTGGGGAGTGAAGAAGAAGGCTTCTTAAAGGAGGTATCTGAGTTGGGTTTTGAAGGATGAATAGGAGTTTGTTACTGTGGAAAGACAGTGCAAGAAGAGCTTCTAGCAAGACATATCCCAAAGAACTATTCATTTGACTAGCAACTGGGGAATGCCTTAAAGTCAGGGACCATGCCCTTCCTGAATCTCCAGTGCCTTGAGCAGTGCCTGACACAGGCTTGATAAATCCTCCTTTGAGTGAATAGTGGATTTGACACATTGGGGAACAGGGCGGGAGAAATTGTAGAAGAAACAGATGGGGCTTGAATGTAGAAGGCCTCATGAACCGCAGCAAGGATCGGCTCTGAAAGGTGATCTGGAGCTATTGGAGGTTGTTACCCAACAGCAACAGTTGTGGTCAGGGCCACTATTGGCAGGCGGGGGTGATCAGATCTGTCCCACTTAATATCACAAGTATTTAAGCCTATAACTTTTCCCCTAAGGAGGAGAACCTGACTGCTTTTAAACGCAACAAATGGCAGGATTTTCAGTTTCACTCATCGTGAAGAGAAAAGGAAGTTAAGCTACAGAGAGATATGTTCCACTATCAGATTGGCAGAGATCGAAAGCTTTTAATATACTGTGGTATGGGAAGTAGTTACCCTTGTACCTTGTTCGGTGCAGTATAAACTGATGGTACCCGTTGGAGGCAGTGTCTGTTTAAATTTTAAATGCATACGCCTTTTGATACAGCAGGTCCACTTCTAGAAAGTTATCTTACAGACATTCTTGCTTTGTGTGCAATGAGGCACTTATTAGGTTATTTATTCACGGCTTCATTGTTTGTAAGAGCAGCCCAGTGCCCAGTCAGCAGGAGGCTGATGATATAAGGTCAAGTCCGTCCATACCATGGAATACAAAGCAGCTGGAACAAAGAATGAGGAAGTATGCAGAGCAGGATGATGTTTCAGATCTGTTATTAAGAGATGAAAGGAAGGTACAGTGCAGGATGTGTGGAGTATGTTTCTCTCCATTTGATAACAGAAAATACGTATTTATTTTTGTTATAGATGCATAAAATATTTTCTGGAAGGATACACAAGAAACCGATACTGTCACTTCCAGAGAGAGGAACTGGGAGGTTAAGGACCAGGAATGGAAGGTGGCTTGTCACTTCTACCCTTTTTTCAAAAGAAATCAAATTAAGCTATCAAGAATAAAGTAGATCTGTGGCACTGATAGAGATCAGTTTCTAATGTTAAGTAAAAAGAGCAAGGCGTGGAACCGTTACGTATTATGGTACCTTTTGGGGAAGCAAAGTAGGTGAGCTATATTTGGAAGAATATACAAGGTGTTAGCCATGATAGTTTTGCCTGTGGGTTAGGAGGGGAGTGCTGTGAGTTCAGGAAGGAGGATTTATGTTTCACAGTGTACCATTTTCTGTAGTTTGGGAAAATTTTAGCATGTAAAGTAAATGTATTACCCATTAAAAGTAAATTAATACAAAGAGAGACATGGATGACTGCCTCGGTGGATGGGTGGGTGGATGGATGGATGGATGAGTCAGTGGGTGGGTAGTTGGGTGGATGGATGGATGGATGGATGAGTCAGTGGGTGGGTAGGTGGGTGGGTGGATGGATGGATGGGTTCATGGCTGAGTGGATAATTATATCTGATGCACGTATGGATGCATAGATAAATAAGATAAATTTGGCTGTAGTGGGGAGGACTAAGTGGGGCCCGGAGGGGCTGGAAGCAGGGAATGGCTAGAAAGCTACTGCAGGAGTCCAGGCGAGGAATAATTGGGATAAGGATCAGATTATTGAATTGATTCACATAGGAACCGAGCTTCCTGTATACCTAACTGTGTATATTAAGTGCCAGCATTCTTTTCTTACTAGAAAGGCAGATGCCTTTGGAATGAGCTTTTTCTGGCAGCTGCCCAGAAACTGCTGTGTATATAATAACCACCAACAGTTTAATCCCCATTTTCACCATCACCTTAAGAATTGTAAGTGGTGTGAAACCAATTAAAATAGTCTTTGATATAAACTACTCTCCATGCTCATTCTTATTTCCAAGGCTGTCTTCCAGTGCCCAAGTCCAGAGGCATGACCTTTGTCCTTTTAAGGGTTTCTTTGTGTCTAGAAGTTTCCTGGCTCAATCCCTTGGTGTATGTTGACCTTTTAAAGTTTACTTTTCAATGATTCCTTGTTCTTTGTTCTGGAAAAATAACCATTTATATCACAGAATAATTAAACCTCTGAAGAACCAGTTTGGGTACTTAATACCTATAGGTCTTTCTCTCTCTCTCCCTCTTTGTCAAGTCAAATCCTTTTTTTAACCATCTTAACCATTTTTAAGTGTACACTTCAGTAGCGTTAAGTATACTCACAGTGTTGTGCACAACTCTTTTGAAAAACTTGGAACGTATATTTTGATTGATCATCAAATGTATCTTTAAGTGAAATGTTCTGCTTGTTCCCATCATTTTCTCTTCTGTAACCTTCTTTGATGTGGCTTTAAAACTTGCATGGGATTGTAAGAATCCAGGTTCCTTGGAGTTCCTTGGTGGTCTCACTTATCTGATTGTGGGAAGGCTGTTGGAACCGGAGCTGTCTGGCGGTGTCTGGAGAGCACATCATCCAGTGGTGGGGAGAGAGTGCTGGGGGGAGAGGGCTGCATGGGGACTGGCCAGCTGGACCGCATGGACCTTATCCAAAGACTGGCTACTTCTAGCTCCTCCCAATGGTTGTAAGGTGGGAATATGGGCCCAGTGCTGCCAGATTTTCTGATTTTTTAAAAGAGACACTGGAAATCCAAGTTTTACATGAAATTTCCTGATTTTTAAATGTTGGCAGCTAACATAAGATTTTTTTTTTTAAAAAAAAGCATGCTTAAAACACCAACAACAGTAATAACAAACAATCTGTGAGCCATATCAGCCTGGGAGCCACCTGTTTCAGACCTCTAATTTCATCCCCCCTAATTATGGTAGAGATAGGAAATTGAGACCCCAAGATAGGGTAATAACTTTCCCCAAAGTTGTATAATGGTTCAGTGGTCAGATCAGGACTTGAATTAAATTTTCCATTACGGAAGTCTGAAGTTTATTCTTGGGCAGATACAGATATACCTGGTCTATGTATGTATGTATCTATCTACTTATCTATTTGGCGTGTCTCTAATGAAGTACAGGTGTCTTGTTACAAAATTAAAAGTAATTAAAACAGATTTGTTTCTGAGGCTGGATAGCTTAGTGGTTAAATGCAGGAACTCCAGAGCTGAATTCCCTGAGTTTGAGTTTGGCTCCAGATCTTACCAACTGTGAGATACTGGGCAGATCACTGAACCTCTCTGTGCCTTAGTGTTCCCTCCTGAAAAAGGAATGATAAAGTAATTATGGAATTAAAGGAGGTAATACATATAAAGGACTTAGAATAGGGCCTAGAACATAGAATTGCAGTTTGGGTGTTATCCATGCTGCTGCTGCTGCTGCTGACGGTGGTGATGACGATGGCCGTGATGGCCTTGCTGTTGGTGCTGATGAAAGTGATCACGATAGTGGTGATGCTGATGACATTGATGGCAGTGATACAGGGGTCATGGTGATGATAATGAAGAAAAAGAATAGAAAGCTCTTGATTCCCAAGACTGTAAAGTAGGAATGATTTATATGACTAAACGACGTGTCAGTTTACAGAGCACCCTTTAGGATTCCTTTAAATGGCAGTCTCCATCTTTTGTACAATAATGGAACTTACCACAGGTCCCAGAACTTGTCCGTTAGTTGAGATGAGATGTTCGTTGTTCCTTGTTTGTAGTCTTTCTGGCTACTAATCTTTCCAGTTTGCCTGTTCTGCCTGGTAGGGCCTCGTTGTTCTTAAACCCCATGACAGCTGGTTTTGAACTCTTCATGGGCCCCTTGTCCAAGCTCTTGGCGACGTCCTGTTGACCTGTGCCTGTTTGTGTCCTCAGGAGTGGAATGTCACGTGGAACACCAGCAGCCCCGACTTCACCAAGTGCTTTCAGAACACCGTCCTCGTGTGGGTGCCTTGCTCTTACCTTTGGGCCTGCTTCCCCTTCTACGTCCTCTATCTCTCCCGCCATGACTGGGGCTACATTCAGATGACACATCTCAACAAAGCCAAAACTGTAAGTCACGTGGGAGTTTATCATGATGTGTGTGTTGTGGGTGTGTGTGTGCTGGGGTGGGGAATATGGTGGTTGTGAAAACTGACATGTTCCTTCTGCTTAATTGGCCCTGAGTTCCTTTTACTGGGAGACAGAATAATAATGTGGCGGGTAAAGGCTGGGGCTCTGAGTTCAGACGTGGGTTCAGATATCGGCTCTGCCACTTACTAGCTGTGTGGCTTTGAGCAAATTTCTTTTTTCCTTCCAGTTTTATTGAGATACAGTAGACATGCAGCACTGTGTACGTTTAAGTGTACAACATAATGATTTGACTTACGTCGTGAAATGATTATCACAGTAAGTTTTGTGAACATCCACCATCTCGTATAGGAACAAAATCAAAGAAATGGAAAGAAAGTTTTTTCTTTGAGCAAATATCTTAACTTCCCTGAGCCTCAGTTCCCCCATGATTATAGTGGGGGTGATAGGATCTATCTCACGAGATTATCTGGAGGTCTTCCTCCCTGACCAAGGATGTCTTTTTATTTTTTTTTAAAGATTTATTATTTACTTATTTATTTATTTAATTTACTTTTGGCTGTGTCAGGTCTTAGTTGCGGAACGCAGGATCTTCGTTGAGGCACGCGGGCTCTTTGTTGTGGTGCGTGGGCTCCAGGGTGCACGGGCTCCGTAGTTGTGTCATGCGGGTTCCAGGGTGCGTGGGCTCTGTAGTTTGTGGCACATGGGTTCTAGTTGTGGCACATGGGCTTAATTGCCCCGTGGCATGTGGGATCTTAGTTCCCTGACCAGGGATCGAACCCGCATCCTCTGCATTGTAAGGCGGATTCTTTATCACTGGACCACCAGGGAAGTCCCAAGGATGTCTTTTTAATTTAAAAAAAGTTTTTATCTTGAAATAGTTTCAAACTATAGAAAAGTTGCAAGGATGATACTAAGCACTCCCCAGCCCTGTATACCCTTTACTCATAGTCACCGATGTTTAACATTTTGCCACATTTAACATTTTAACCTCATCATTCTCTTTTGCTCTCTCCATATACATGTATTATTTATGTTTTTCTGAATCATTTGGGAAAAGCTAGCATCTACAACGCCCTTTTACCTGTGATTCTTCAGTGTATCTTTTCTCAAAACAGGGATATTCTCTTATATAACAATAGTACAGTAAATTCAGGAAATTTAACATGGACACAATACTTAAAAAAAAAACCTACTGTGTGTATTCCAGTTTTGTCACTTGTCTCAATACTGTCCTTTCTAGCACCCCCCTCCCCCTCCCCCCACTTCAAGGTCATGCGTTGCATCTAGTCACACTTTATTTTTCTGTAATTTTGGAAGAACTTTTCACCTTTCTTTGTGTTTTATGACATTGGCATATTTGGAGCGCGTGGGCCAGTTAGTTTAGAGTCAGTTCCTCAACTTGGGCATTGGGACGATGTTCCCTCATGATTAGATTCTGGCTGGAAAACTACAAAAGGGATGTGGGGTCCTTCTCTGGTTACATCTAAGGCCGCATGGCGTCCGTCTGCCCCTCAGTGATCGGCTTAATTTTGTTCCTCTGGTCAGCGTGTCTGGTTTCTCCGCTGTGCAGGTGCTGGTTTTCCCCTCATAAGGATGAGCTTTCTGGGGGAGACACGTGAAGGGCATGTATATACCTGCTCCTCATTCCACTTTCTCCTCTTGACTTAGCATGTGTCTCAGTCCTTTTTTAAGCCACATTTCCCAAAATTTATTTCCATAAGCCCTTGGCAAACAGGAAAACTTGAGTGATTTTACTGAAGCTGTCCCCTTGCCTATAACACCGCCGTCCAAACCTGTCTCGTTCAGACCACAATCCAAGCCTATCTCAACATGCTGTCGGCTCCCCTATCCTCAGCTGGATCTGATGTCTTCCTCTTAGACTTCTGGAAGCGCTTTGTACTTCTCTTGGGGAACAACATCTCCCTTTAAAATGTAAATCAGATTTTATCCGTGCCTTGCTCAAAAAACCTCTAGTGGCATCTCATTATAGGGAATAAAACCTGGACGTCCTCACAGTGGCCCCGCTTAGTCTGGCTCCAGGCTCCTCTTCAGCCATCTCCTGCCACACCCACGGCTCATGCCACAGCAGCTGCAACCTTACTGAGCACATTCCTACCTCAGGACCTTTGCACTTATCCTCTGCCTGAATTGTTCTTTCCCTCAAATAGTCACTGTTGGCTCTTTACCCGGATGTCACCTGATGGGAGAGGCCTTCTCTGACCACCCTATCTAATCTGTTTTATTTCTCCTTATATTACTTCTTGCTGGCATTATAGTATGTATTTTTCAGTTTGTTTCTTGCCTGTTTCCTTCCACTGGAATCACAGCTCCATGAAGGCAGTGACTTCTGTCTGTTTTATTCTGTTGTATCCTTGGCACCTTGGCAAGTATGTGGCCCACAGTAGGACCCCAGTAAATTTTGGTTGGATGAATGGTCATCGTGAGAGGCGTCCTGTGCAGGCTGCTGGGGTTACAGATGTAGATAAGCCAGAGACTTGCGTTTTCAGGTGCTGGGGAGAATAGTGACCACACAGAGTTGTGCCTGTGGTGCAGGAGAGATACAGACCAGTGTGGGACGGCCCAGGTGCTGGCACACCCTACCTAGGGCTTGTCTGTGTTCCAGAGGATACATGCTGTATCTGAAGACCACAGCTGATGGTTTAGGGGGTGGCTGGTGCCCCCAAGGCTGAGATTTTTGCACAGGTGCTGGGGGAAGTTCCGTTGCTGTCCGTTGTAAGATGTGTATGTACTTCTCTTCCAGGCCTTGGGATTTTTGCTATGGATTGTCTGCTGGGCAGACCTCTTCTACTCTTTCTGGGAAAGAAGTTTGGGCAAGCTCCTGGCCCCAGTGTTTCTGGTCAGCCCAACCCTCTTGGGCATCACCATGGTAAGTAGGGGCTGGCACTGTGGAGACCAAAAGTAGTGGCTGGCATTTAGAAATGAAATGATCTCACAGTAGAAATCCAGAAATACAGCTGTGTTAGGTGAATTTGATGTGGTCTTGGGGTGGGGGGTAGGGAGAAAGGGATGATGGGGCTGAGGCCTAAAGGATGAGCAGGATGTTAAAAAGTTGAAGGGGCTGGGGGTAGAGGATGATCCAGTTGGAGAGAATAGCATGTGCAGAAGTCCTGGGGTCGGAGAGAGAGAGTGAGAGTTGGCCTGTGTGGCTGGGGCAGAGACAGTAAGGAGGGGAGAGCAGGGGGGAGGGAAAG